TCCTCTCTCTCTCTCTCTATCTCTCCCCTCTCTCTCGTTCTCTCTCTTTTCAACGGTCTACATTTCTATCCACCATGTTTTCGATGTTCGACTCAGTTTGACCAATTCTACGCTGATAGAAAAATTTTTTTTTTTTTTTTAAATTAGAATAAATCCCACTTTGCCGCATTAAACACTTATGCGCAAAAGATTATACATGGAAAATGACATTAATAATGTATATTTTGTAATTTTATCAAATGTAATAAAACATGCATACAATACAAAACAGCCTTATAAATATCGCTCCACATCTATTCCTATGCTCTAAATTAATAAAAATTTTAAAAAAATCATAATTTCTAAAATTTTAATTAAAAAATTTTAATGTAAAAATCTAAATTCTAAATAGGAAAAGTATTAGAAGAGCATAATAAGTAAAGAGGTCGAATTTTATTTAAAAAAATCTAAGAATTTTTTAAGTAAGAATTTTTGAAGATTTTGAGATTTTGAGATTTCAAATTGTGTGAAAAATCAAGAGATTCAAAAACTGACAGAGTATCAGGAGAATATAATTGACGTGAAAGTTGCGATATCTAAAGTTTCGAGAATTTTTTAAGAATTTCAAGAACATCCGGGATTTTAAATCTCAAAAAATATTGAAAATTGACAAAAGTATCAGGAATATATAATAGACGAGATGACTGTTTTACATTTCCGTTTGTCGTTTCTTATTCGCAATTTTGGTACTACTTCGTGCGCTGTATGAAGCCGATACTCCATCTTCCTCGCTTAATCGCGCCGTCGACGATATTTCCTTTGAGGATTCATTGAGCATAGTACCCTCTCTGAAAGTAAAGCGTGATAGTTAGATTTTTTTTGAAAAGTATGTACACAAAGAAGCCACTCACGAAAATTGCGGATGCAAGGTCGATAAGATTGATGGTGCCTCCGGTAGCTGCACCGGTTTCAGATCGTATATCTTTAAATGGGCGTAAACAGGAATCTGCAAATAGAATATAATCGGATATAGCAAAATTATCGTAATGATAATAGTCGATAGCGACTACTAAAAGCGAATTGGAATTAACATTTTTAGTGTAATACTAATCTCTGTACAGCGAAATATGTATGCTGTCAAATCTTACATGCAATAAGGATGTATCCAGAGTTGTGAGTGGTATGGAATTTGTTGGTAAATCAGGAAGTCGATGATGATAACCGAGTATCGGGGATTGCAGTTTTTTACCATAAATTAGATCGGATTCATGGGATGATTCCTTCGTCTCCGAGTGATTTATGGAAGGAGCTTCTTCAACTTTTTCTTGTTGCGTTTCTTTGAAAACGTCCATTGCAAAGATACTTGAGTAAGAAATTCTCAAAGCGAGATGTACGACGGTATAACTTTGCTCTACAAAAATATATTGTTATTGACTTACTGCGATGTTGCATAATATAAATTAACGTTCTACCGAGAAGTTATATGGTTAATTCGAACTTTCAACAGCTGGTTTACAATCTGAACTTGCGTCAGGAAACTCAATGTTTGGTCGATAATGCTTCGCAGTCTTTTTAACGTTGTATTATGTATGATAAACAAATAAATCGAATTGTATACACAGCATAGATAAATTAATTGTGTAAGAATTTATATTCTATAGAATCGAATTATTTAAAATTGAATCACAACATTCTTCAATTTGTTTTTAAGAATTTCAATTGTTCCCTATTATGATAATATTAATATAATATCACTATGAGAATTTATTGTATTGAGTGAATAAAAATATGAATAAAAATTTAATAAGTCAAGTGTGAAAGTAACATCTTAATTAACATTTCATATGTTAGTCTTCATTATCAATATTTTTTGAAGTTTGTCAAGCTGCGCACGTATAATGTGTATATTATTCCAAAATTAGCAGCATAAATTATAATAACAATATCTTCGAGTCATCAGTGAGTCAGGTAACATTGTATGTTTAATCCACTATTAATATTATGCTAATGAACGTGAAAATTGGGCAAAGATTATAATACATATAACAGATTATAATAAGATTATAATACAAGATTATAATACATAAATACATTTTAATTTTTAATGAAAAATTAAATATCATAGCTTACTAATTATTCGTTTAGAGTAACAAATTATCGGAGATAATTATTCCATTCGTATTTTTAAGAAATCTGGAGAAAGAAAATCGGGTGGAATTGAAAAGATATCGGATATCGATATTAATTAAGAATCAACAACTTGTTAATGGATTTAATGATAAAGCGTATTTATTAATATGTTACAATTACATAATTAGCATTACGGTAAGAACGCAGCCGAAACGTCGCGTGTAAATTGCGATAATGAATTCTCTCGGCGCGTCATCAGTTAGCATCAGTTGACATGATTACATCAAATAGATTTTATTGTCTCATAGATCATCATAGATATCCTTTTATATCCTATCCCAGTTATTGTGAATTGATGAAGTCTAGAGTATTGGCGACATTGCAGTAGGCATCGGGTACACCTTGGGCGCAAGGAGCAACCCATGAGGTAATGCCGCTCTGTACACCGTTACAGACAAGCGGGCCACCGCTATCACCCTGGAAAATGTATTTTCATTAATTTCCCGTTTAACCCGTTCGAACTTTTTTGACAATTGTACTAACTGGTCGACCATCTCCATTGAGAGCTAGGGAAACTTTATCTTTATGTGTTTGATGATAAATGTTACTTACTTGACAAGCGCCAACTCCGCGCCTATCCAGCATGCACAAGTGGCTCGCACCCAGAGGCATACCTCGGTGGTAACTCTGGCATTCGCTTAGCGCGAGCGCATTCTGGTTCATGAAGAGAAGATTGGGCGAAGACCGTCCGTTCGTTTTGGTCAAGCCCCATCCGGATAGGGTGCAGCGAGTTCCAGGAGCCGGCTGAGATTGGGCCAGTTTGATCGGAGATTGAAAATTATTGAATGTCATCGGTTGCTGGAGCTGAAAGAGGAATAACAAATAATAACTTACACACCGATGATTTAAAGGACGAAAATAAAAACAGGAAGGAACAGAAATAGAAAGAAGTGAACGAGAATGAGATGAGAGTTGTTGCTTCCGAAGCTTTTATCGTTTATTTTGCTGTCATCAACTTACCCTGATCACCGCGACGTCATTTGCCCAAGCATATTGTACGCCCTCCCTGTAATTTGGATGACATGTAGCACTTCGCACATTGTGGATCTGTCCTCCAGAGATGGAGGTGGTTCCAGTAGCGACTTTGTAGTTGTTGTAGGGAGGAGAGGCGATACCTTTGACGCAATGACAGGCAGTTAAGATCTTGTCCGCGCCGATGATGGAACAACCACAAACGTGTGGCCATTGTATCTCAAAGAACATTGATACGGGAATTGACCTGGGCTGGCGCGCTGACCACCGACGATCGCATCGGGTTCGTCAGCGAACGTCTCTACAAATCAATTAAATAAATTCTGAATTTGTTTCTTACAGAGAGAGGATAATTGACCGACATATATATCACTTATATCTAATTGTCAATGTAGATTAATTTTAAATCTCATTTTACTCTTCAATTTTTTAATCCTAAAGAGGAGGCTAAAATGTAAATTAAAATTAATTTACATTGAAAGAAATAAACATTAGGATGTACCGTAAAAGTTTAATGGATGAACGAAATGTTCGAAAGGCACAAATGATTGTAATATCTCGTTAAATTAATATATAATATGTCTTGACTTACGTTGCGCAAGAACGCCGACCACCAAGATAATGAACGATAGCATGATTGCTAATTAACTCCAGACTAGACCAAAACTGAAACTGGAAGTGAGGACAACAATTTTCACTCCCTTTTTATATCGAATTCGTATCTGTAACTCGACCTCGGCGAGCAGCTGGTCGCATTTCGTACAGTAAATAAACCCGATGACGTTCGCATCTTGCATTTTAATAAGGTAAATATCATCAAATTGAAGATTGCTGTCTTAATTACGCCGTGGAATTAAGTGAAGAGGAACGATAAAATATACATAATAATTAAACATACAAGATGTATCTCTTTATTATTGTTATCATGTTGAAGAGCTGATCGTTCATCCGAATAAAATATAAGATATCGCAAAGCTATTTCCAATATTGCATCATATATTTAAATAAACAACTAGGTAAATGAGAGATAGTG